TGCAAATTTCACCCAAAAGTAACAAAAGCTTGGATCTTCAAGGGTAAGTTACACTTTGATCCTTTTGACCTTTCCTTGATCTATTTCTAAGCCTCATCTTTTTGGTTTCAAGCTTCGGCCCTCACTGAAAAGGGCCATATTTTGAGCTCATCTTCACTTCTCATTGAGGGCTCAACCCTGTTTGAGCCCTCCATAATACACTTGCTTCATTAACCATGTTGTATGTCATGATTTGCATGCTATTTTTGACCCATGAGCAATTTATTTCGAGCATGTATAAACTGATATGAGCATATTTTTGAGCCCCTCTTCAACATTGGAGAAGGGCTCAAAATTTTTTGGTGTTTCCATATGTCACTTGTAGTTATATCCCCTATTTGGCCCATTTTTGCATAAATTAGTTTAGCCCTCTTGCTTCTGTTTTTGGACCTTGGTCCGAACTGAAAGTGGTCTTATTTTGGCCTATACTTCATGTTTTCATTCACACTTTTTTTCTGTTTGGTGATTATTTTATATACTTCATGTTATAGCACCTTTTGAGCCTTGTTTGCATCAACATTTTGGCATGTTGTGTATACTGATTTGAGGTCTGGCCATATACTGTAATGTTCATATTTTTGGTTCATCTCAGTGTTATAGAAGGAATTTTTTCAGTTTGGGTTTAGCTGTATACCACTTGCTTCATTACCCTATCTGGCCCCTGTTCTTGTATGCTATTTTTGCCATGATTATACTGTGCGTTTGGCCATGTTTATACTGGAAAAAGTGCTTATTTTTGGGGCTGTCTCTAGATTCTGTCTTTGCATTGCAATGTCCATGTTGTGCATGTTTAGCATGGCTATAGGCCATTTCGGGTTGCCTAATGTTGCATTTCGGGACAATTTCATGCATTTGGTATCATTCGCTACATTTCGGGACTGTTTTTCCCCATATTTGTTGCTGAAATTCGTTAGTATGCTTGCATATCATTTTTGCCATTTTCCATTGGTCATTTTAGCACGCCTGCGGTTGTTCGTGCCCGTGTGCAGGCATTTTCGAGGGCACCTTCATTTTCTGCCATCGGCATCCTATGTGAGTGTGGCTGAGGCTCTCTCATGTTAGTATAAGTCCATGTTGCATTCCATGTCAATTCGCATCGCTTTTGCACCGCCTCGGTTTGCGTGCCCGTGTGCACGCATTTCGAGGCACCTCATTTTCTGCCACCGGCATCCGATGTGAGTGTGGCTGAGGCTCACTCTGTTGGTATAAGCCCATTTGTCATTTCCTATGCATTTCATCGCATTTTATCATTGCCTCGGTTTGCGTGCCCGTGTGCACGCATTTCGAGGCACTCTGTTTTTTATCCGCGGCATCTTATGTGAGTGTGGTTGAGGCTCATTCATTTAGTATAAGTCATTTATCATTTTCCATGTCATTCACTATCGCCTCGATTTGCGTGCCCGTGTGCACGTACTTCGAGCATCTCATTTTCATTGCATTCACTATCACTCGATTTTGCGTGCCCATGTGCACGTACTTCGAGGCATCTCATTTTCATCATATCTGTCATCGCCTCGTTTGCGTGCCCGCGTGTGCACGCACTTCGAGGCATCTCATTCTCAGCATTCCGTCATTTTCTCGATTCGCGTGCCCGTGTACACGCATTTCGAGGCATGTCATTCCATAGCATGGTGTATGTTAGAATTATATCTTAATTACATTTCATGCATATAATGCATATTGCATCATGTCCGGAATAGGAATTAGCCCGGGCACGGGAAACGAGGTACATTTCGTACTCCGATGAGGAATGTGCTCAATTCCCCAGTCACCGACACTCCGGATTATCCATGATGGAGTTAGGTTTTAGCTGTAGTTTCATGTGCATTCATCTATATTGAGTTGTGCATTCGACTCCTCTGCATCATGCCGTCGGTATGTGTGATTGGTGGCACGAGGATCGAGACATGCATATATTTGTGCAAATACATTGCTATGCCCCTTTCTTGCTCTCTGTTTGCAGCAAAATCAGGAATCAGCAACTTTCCGGGACTTGGGCGCTTTTCAAAAAATAACAGGTGAAACAGAGGCTAATTGGGGCATTCCGGTGGATTTTCCGCGCAAGACAGTCCGGACATGTATCATCCACCAAAAAGCAAGGCAGTCCCTGGCTTGCACGCCAGTTTATTTGCTTTCTAGTTATTCATTAATTAATTAGAATTCTGTAATATTTTGGACTGTAATATTCTTTTATTTTTGGGGACTGTAATATTGGCACTGTATTATTTTATTCGGACCCTCTGCCGCGAGGGCACAACTGTAATTGAGGGTGAGTGTGATGTATGTCTTTCAACCCCACGTCTTTCTCCCTTTTATTTATCCGCTTTTGAATGTTTTGGGCATATTTTCAATTAGCATACAGTTGTGTATTGACAGCATGTCTATTATTGCATATGCATCGGGCTCGGCGCATCATACTAATCTCTGTACTTTCATCCAAAATTGAATATCATGGTAGTTATAGCATTCCATATGCCATCTTAGAATAGCCGAGCCTGCTATAGTTGCATTTTTGCATGTGTTGCATTAGGCATTTCTGTACACTTAGGATCATGCATGATTTCTAATATAGTTTCTATTTTGGCTTGGAGTACTCGGTGAGTTTTTATACCTTCCTTCATGCGTGTTGAGTGAATGCCATGATAGCATGCTTACCTATAGTGTGGCTTATATGATATAACTGCCTGAATGCCTGTGGGTGAGGTCGGGTTATCTGAATTGGAGTAAATCATCAAATGTTTCAAGCCTACCTGCGGGTAGCAAACCATTTTCAAAAAACGAACATGAATGTTTTCTTCAATTCAGGCGATCCAGTCTATACTTGTATGCTGTGCGCATCACATAGTAACTAGGCTAATAACCGGAATAAGAACTCACAATGTTTTCAAAAATTGATATCATGGTTAGTAGAGGCCGATCTTTGATCGGCGAGCGGGGGTGCTCACGAAGTGACCTTCCCAATCGTACCCAAGTCCCGAGCCGAGGCAACTTTGGTGATGACGGACACGTGGCCTTATGGCACCGAGTCAGGGTTCCTAAATTTCCAAAATAAAATATTTAGGTGGCGACTCTGTATCTGGCAAAGCAGTCCATGTTTGGCACTTCTTTCAAAAAAATCAGTTTTTCCTAAAACAATTTTGCCGGATTTGGATCTTTGATTCAGATTTAGAACCGTGACTGCGAAAGTCGAGTTCGAGCTGTAGCGAGGTCCCCCCGTGGCTTGTTACACTAGGCAAGTGAACTAGGACGGGCTTTGATTTTGTTGAAATCATTGCTTGGGAAACTATGCACAAGATTCAAAAGGGATTAGAAACTTTGTTCATAAAAGCATGGGTAACCATTACATTTGTGTCACCTCGATGACTATTAATGAGCCCTAGGTTGATGATGTTAGTACCTCAGACATCTTGTTCGTCTATTTCTTGAATTTATGCCAGTAATTTTAATTTAGTTTGACGTTTTGGACAGGATTTTGTTCTGTGATGAAAGCCAGGATACACCACACTATGAAGTCCTTTGCCAAGTTTGGTTTTCAATTCTTGTTGTAATGAAAGTTCTAAATTTATCACATCAATTTTTAGTTTTGCAATGGGTTTGCAGTCACATCTACTTTTGAGACAGCTAAAATGTTGTGTTTGGTGCAAGTTGTGAAAACCTTGCTTGGGTAAATATCGATTTTGGTAAACATGAAGTGTGTGTAACTAAGAATTGAGGGGTTATCTTAAATCTTTAATTTGCTTTGGTAGATTATTGCATTAGTCCATGCTTCCACTTCCTTCTGTGATGGTTTGGTCCTATTCTTGTTGGCTTGCTAAACTAATTGCTCTTATTTTGCATTAGAGTGGGAAAGGTGGATCAGATAATTCTCAAAATGTTCCTAATGAGGAGATAGGCGTTGGACATGGAGGGTCTTTTGGCAGAGGTTATGGCTTTTGGCTGTTGGAAATGGCCCATCTGTCGAATCTTATCGCCGTCAGCATGAAATTACTATTAGTGTGTAAGCATAACAATATTTGTACATTAGGTTGCTTACTTATTAATCTGCAATATTTTTGCTTCTTAGGCATTCCATTTGACTTGAACATTGGGTTCTTGTATTTTACTTTCAATATTTGAATCCTTGGGTCGTCGCTCATGATGCTTTCTTTGATGATTATGAAGACAGAAAGGTTCTCAAGTAGAACAATCTTGTTTCAGTATAGAATATTACAATTAAATGTAGTTTATTAGTTTACAAAACAGTATGATTAATTAAGTTGCACCCCCAGACTTCGCTTGCTCTTTATTGGAATTCTTTTTGGCTCATGCCTTTTACACTAGACATGCATTTTGGGAAATTCAGAAGTGGCATTATTTCATTGTCCATGGTGTTTTAGATCTCCTTCAATTTTCCACTATGTATTCCTTTATATTTTCCGTTGTGCAGTTTATATTGTTGTAATGGATTAGGGTGTTTTTGTTTCAATTTTCATCAGGGAGATAATGTACCCCTCCTTTAACATCATTTGAGCTACTGGTTTTCTTCAGAGCTTCTTCGAGAGGTTTGAATTTCTTCTATATTTGCGACTCTGTATTGGCCAGAAGTCTATGCAAGTTTACTTTGATATGTGATCTTAGTGTTTTCTGTAAAACTTTTGTGATTGTTGGAGGTCTGATGTGAAGCTTTAGGACTTATGTCATTATTTTCCATCTTTACTTTTGTCGCAGGTGCGATATTTGCTCCAAGGAGGAGCTAAATGTCGTACGCTGTGCTACCCCTTATGAGGGGTTTGGAGTGGGATTGTGTACTGTAATTTGGTCAATGTTGCTTGCTTAATAGATTATATAATAAGAAATCATTTACATGTTTTGTGCGAAATGTACTAACACACAACACAAACTAACTATTTACGGCATCATGTTTACGACATGCATTAAATGCATGTCTTAGTTAGTACATTCTATGACATTTTTTTTCCCGCAAGCCGTTAATGTTTTGTCAATAATAGCATACATACCATGTATGTCGTTAATTCATATATTTTGGCATACAAAAGTATGTCGTAAAAAATATATGTTTTCACGACTTACAAAATATGTCGTAAAATATTTGTACTTAAGACGATGTACATTTCATGTTGTAAAATATTATAACTTTACCACGATATCTAATTAATGTAGTGAAAAACTTCTTTAAAAAAAAAAAAAAATCAATTCGATTTTTTGTTGACATGCAAAAAGTATGCCGTGAAAATAATTATATTTTCACGCATGTACAAAAATGTCCGTAAAATATTGCACTTAAAACACCCATACATTTCATTTGTAAAATATTAAATTATATATATTTTTTTTGAATTTTAGCATTTTTTTAGAAAATTGTAAAAATATTTTCCTTCTAAGTATATGAAATTATTTGAATTTAAGAATTTAAAAACTTATGCACACTCCCTCTCATTTTAGACCATACCTATTTTTGTCCCAAACCCTCTCATTCTCTAGAGAAATTATATTTTTATTAAAATAATACAAACAAAATTCTAGATATTCTTAAATATATCCCTCTCTTATTTATTTTTTAGCTTACCAATGCTATAAGAACAAAAATTAATTGGGGGTAAGGATGAGAATTTTCGACATAACTCAAGCAATATATAAAATTAGTAAGTTAAGGTTGACTATTTTCAACATGAATCCAAGACTTGACACAACTCAATAATATGAATTATTAGTTATATATTTGAATGTTCACTAAGGGATGCCATGACATTTTTTTAATCTTTTATTTAACTCTATCTAACTGAATAAAAAAGTATGTAAAATAATAATTAAGGCTAATATTTTTTTTTCATTTAAGATATATATTTTTTTGTTACCTATTTTAGAGTCAATCTAATGAAAAATATATAGTAATAAGGTACAATTTTTTTAATTAGAAAAATGCAATTGAATTAAAATCAAACATTCTATGAATAATTTCATTTAGTTGAAATAAATTTTATAAACTTCAACTTATGAGAAAAATTTTAATCTCTCAATACACTTGCTAAGTTATTTTTAACTAAAAGTGAAAGTTTTCACATTAAACATTAATCGAACACGAATCAAAATAACACCACACAACAACATAAAAAGAAATAAATTGAGCTAATATTAAAATAATTATGAAATAACATGACAAGATACACTCCCCTGATTGGGGCCCTAAATTTTGTTCAAAATTGGGGGCCCGAGGCGACCGCCTTAGTCGCCTCACCCCAGGGCCGGCCCTGGTGGTTCAGTGCAAGTTTGCTTTCCTTCCAAAACTTGCCAAATTCCCCCGACTCAAAATGGGAAAATCACCTATCTAATTTTATGTGTATTGCTGTTTCTTGCTTCAGATCCTTGAGATTGAAGCTTTTTAATGATGGCTACTGCAACCGTCTCTTCTGCTGGTCCACGTTATGCTCCAGAGGACCCCACTCTTCCCAAGCCTTGGAAAGGGCTAGTTGATGGTAAAACTGGTTATCTTTACTTCTGGAATCCGGAGACCAATGTCACTCAGTATGAGAAGCCCGCTGCCTCTTCACACACGGGCTCAGCTCCACCACAAAAGCTGTCTGCAGCACCTGTAAGTTCTTCGGTTCAAGTTGAACAATCTTCTCATGGACATTGTGACAGTATCTTCAACGATGATGACGATAGATATAATGGAGGTAGCAATAGTGGGTCTAAGCTTGATACAGGAACTCGGAGTTATCAGGTGTGTTCTACTCATGTTTACAAGCTTTTCTTTTTTGTCTTTATAGTTTGTTCAGAGAGTCAACCAGTAGTGCTGCTATTGATGTCACTCAGGTTACCTTGTGAAATATCTAGACTTGTGAACCTATCAACCTGTTGGGAGGTTGGAAGTTGGATGTTGATTCTTGATTTAGGCTTCTGTGCCCTGATTTTGCTTTGCTTGAGGTGTTGAACGGTGGTCATATATATATTCAAAAATAAAAAATAAAAAATTCCAGTTGTTAATGGATGTTAGTGGACTATACTTGGATAAATTCTAATCTTCTTCCGCATAGTTTGTAATAATGTGTTAACATCTAAGTGGATGATATACTATTAGTTTAATAATTTTCGTTTCCTTTGCATCCTCTCTTTATTTGGTTGTTGTCTTCACCCTTTTTGATGAGGTGTATTTATTGCATCTGACTGTTTGAACACCCATAACTGGCTCAATTGACATTGTGCAGTGGCTTTTGGGAAGTGCTTGCATGGATTGAGTGCTCTTAATATTGATGCACTTGGCTTCCATGAATATATCTAGTTGATTTTTTAAATGAATCATTATAGAGCTGATTTACTGACACTAGGCAAGTGAACTAGGATGGGCTTTGATTTTGTTGAAATCATTGCTTGGGAAACTATGCACAAGAATTCTACAGGGATTAGAAACTTTGATCATAAAAGCATGGATAACCATTATGTTTGTGTCACCTTGATGACTATTAATGAGCCCTAGGTTGATGATGTTAGTACCTCAGACATCTTGTTCGTCTATTTCTTGAATTTATGCCAGTAATTTTAATTTAGTTTGACGTTTTGGACAGGATTTTGTTCTGTGATGAAAGCCAGGATACACCACACTATGAAGTCCTTGCCAAGTTTGGTTTTCAATTCTTATTGTTATGGAAGTTGTAAATTTATCACAGCATTTTTAGTTTTGCAATGGGTTGCAGTCACATCTACTTTTGAGACAGCTAAAATGTTGTGTTTGGTGCAAGTTGTGAAAAACTTGCTTGGGAAAATATCGATTTTGGTAAACATGAAGTGTGTGTAGCTAAGAATTGAGGGGTTATCTTTAAATCTTTAATTTGCTTTGGTAGAATTTATGCATTAGTCCATGCTTCCACTTCCTTCTGTGATGGTTTGGTCCTATTCTTGTTGGCTTGCTAAACTAATTGCTCTTATTTTGCATTAGAGTGGGAAAGGTGGATCAGATCATTCTCAAAATGTTCCTAATGAGGAGATAGGCGTTGGACATGGAGGGTCTTCTGGCAGAGGTTATGGCTTTTGGCTGTTGGAAATGGCCCATCTGTCGAATCTTGTTGCCGTCAGCATGAAATTACTATTAGTGTAAGCATCTAATAAGATTTGTACATGAGGTTGTTTACTTATAATCTGTAATACTTTTGCTTCTTTGGCATTCCATTTGATTGAACATTGGGTTCTGTATTTTACTTTCAATATTTCAATCCTTGGGTCGTCGCGCATGATGCTTTCTTTGATGTTATGAAGACAGAATGGTTCTCAAGCAGAACAATCTTGTTTTCAGTTTAGAATATTACAATTAAATTTAGTTTATTAGTTTGCAACAGTATGATTAATTAAGTTGGCCCCCCAGACTTTGCTTCCTCTTTATTGGAATTCTTTTGGCTCATGCCTTTTACACTAGACATGCATTTGGGAAATTCAGAAGTGGCATTATTTCATTGTCCATGGTGTTTTAGGATCTCCTTCAATTTTCCACTATGTATTCCTTTATATTTTCGTTGTGCAGTTTATATTGTTGTAATGGATTAGGGTGTTTTTGTTTCAATTTTCATCAGGGAGATAATGTACCCCCTCCTTTAACATCATTTGAAGCTACTGGTTTTCCTTCAGAGCTTCTTCGAGAGGTATGAATTTCTTTCTATGTTTGCGACTCTGTATTGGCCAGAAGTCTATGCAAGTTTACTTTGATATGTGATCTTAGTGTTTTCTGTGAAAACTTCTGTGATTGCTGGAGGTCTGATGTGAAGGTTCATGACTTACATTTATTATTTTCCATCTTTACTTTTTGTTGCAGGTGCGATATTTGCTCCAAGGAGGAGCTAAATGTCGTACGCTGTGCTACCCCCTTATGAGGGGTTTGGAGTGGGATTGTGTACTGTAATTTGGTCAATGTTGCTTGCTTAATAGATTATATAATAAGAAATCATTTTACATGTTTTGTGCGAAATGTACTAACACTACAACAAAACTAACTATTTACGGCATCATGTTTACGACATGCATTAAATGCATGTCGTAGTTAGTACATTCTATGACATTTTTTTTCCCGCAAGCCGTTAATGTTTTGTCAATAATAGCATACATACCATGTATGTCGTTAATTCATATATTTATGGCATACAAAAGTATGTCGTAAAAAATATATGTTTTCACGACTTACAAAAATATGTCGTAAAATATTTGTACTTAAGACGATGTACATTTCATGTTGTAAAATATTATAACTTTACACGATATGCTAATTAATGTAGTGAAAACTTCTTTAAAAAAAAAAAAAAATTCAATTCGATTTTTTTTGACATGCAAAAGTATGCCGTGAAAATAAATGTATATTTTCACGGCATACAAAAATGTCGTAAAATATTTGCACTTAAAACAACATACATTTCATGTTGTAAAATATTAAATTATATATATTTTTTTTGAATTTAGCGATTTTTTTAGAAAATTAAAAAATATTTTCCTTCTAAGTATATGAAAATTATTTGAATTTAAGAATTTAAAAACTTATGCCACACTCCCTCTCATTTTAGATCCATACCTATTTTTGTCCCAAACCCTCTCATTCTCTAGAGAAATTATATTTTTATTATAAATAATAAAAACAAAATTCTAGATATTCTTAAATATTTATAAATTTTTAGTGGATATGAGAAATTTTTATTTTTATTGCCAATAAACTAGAAATTGTAGTTATAATCTAGATTTTGTTTAATACAAAAATATTTTATGAACTTATATCACTATTTACATCATTCTCATACTCCTCTCTCTCTCTCTCTCTCTCCCCATCGGCATCTCACACAGACACACGAGCACCACCACCGACCACCACCAGCCATTGTTTCTCCGATTCAGAAACATGAACGCATCTCCGGCGGCAGATTTCTTCTACGGCGAGGTCGTTTGATTCCGATTTCTTTGTGAGTTCAATTCATCATCTCTCTCTCTACACTCTCTCTCTACATATATAAATCATTCATATATAATTTCTAATTTGTCTGATTATTTTCTTAATTGATTATTTTCTCCATAAATCGTTTTCTAATTTCTGATTATTTTCTTAACTGATCTGTAGTTTAAATTACACAAATCTAGATCTCTCCTCTCATTCACCAAGTAACTAATTCGCACTTCGAGAGAGAGAAATGAGACAGCGATTTCATATTTGATCGAACATTGGTTTGGAGGAAATTGAAACCCTTAGATTTGTCTAAAATTGTTGTGTTTTGTTGCTTTGTTTCTGCATCGATTCACCGAACTGCATCATTCTCTCCTGTGGTTGAAGAAAACTCATTAACAAATTTTTAATTCTATTTTTTTTTGTCTTTTCAAATTCATAAAAATAAAGGGAAAATTATAAACATTAGAACAAGAGTTGAGTTTTTGAATGGGTTAATACCAGAAATAACAGGTTGAACACTGTTGAGGACCATGGTAATGGCAAGAAGGTAAATCAAATGAGCAACAGCTTTTTGCATGTCTTTGCTCTCTGTGAGAATGACAACAAAATGGTTTCTAGTAGTCATTATAATTGACATGAACAATATCCCTATTAGAAGAGACTCAGTCACTGTTACAAAGACTGAGTATTTTGCTCCCTTGGGATGTTTTGATCCTAGCTCATTTGAAACCCTAACACTGTCATGAAGGAAAAAAAATTAAATAAATTGTTCAAAAGAAACCAAGAATGAAAATTAGATCAATACCTTGCAATGAAATTTGACAGGGAAAGTAAATGTATCAAAAGAGAATCAATAAATGCAACATAAATTTTTTCATAAAAGTGCATAGAATGCGGCTAGGATATCCTACTATTGCATGCATTTTGGGTATTTTTTTGAAAATTTTCATCAGTACTTAAAATAAAATTCAAAAGATCGATACAACACAATGGAATTTGAAAGGGAAATAAAATATATATGTGAAGAGGAGAACAAAAAAATGCTAGTAACGGATATGGAATTTTTTTTTTTTTTTTAAAGTATACATGTAGTCAGGATGAATGTAGTGTTTTAATCCAAGCTCGTTTGAAGCAGGATGAAAAATAAGTGCTACTCCATGGGGTAGGAGAAGATTTTATGAAGGGATTTTTTAGGATTCCAATGGCTAAAACTTTTCAACAAGATTCTGGATAATTCTAAATACACCCACAAAATTTCTCAATACACCCATTTTATGAGACAATTCCCCAAATAGTGGGTTTATTCAATATTGCCACTAATTACAAGTGTGAACCCTATGAATAATAATACAGTGTAGAGATAGGAAGGGGGTAATACCAGGAAGGAGGTGAAGACAGCAAAGAAGGCCCCGAATCCAAGAATAACAGAGTACCCAACACCTTGATTTAAAACTACTTTCCCTCCAAAGAAACTGCTTTGTCTCACACAACTGTCCCCCGTGCTTGAGTAAATACTTGGCGGCGAACACAAACAGCGGACAATTTGGCAGAGAAGAAGCCATGAAGCCACTGCTCTTCTCCAACTTCAACTGTCAGAGTCTGGCACTCTGTTTGTGTGGGAATTTATATACACATAGAGGAACTGATTTGCTTTATTGTGACGGTATACACAATATGGTTCTAGTCGAACTATGAAAGTTTCTCTCGTTGCTTGCTATGAGAGGCATGTCTTGGATGGCATTGATGCTTTCAGTGGTCACTCTCTTGGGTTTGAATTATATATATAAATATGTATATGTGGCATGTCAATTATATATGTTTTGTCACTTGAAAAATAGATTTTTTTTTTTATTTCCCAAATTAGGTTCTTTTACTTCTTAAAAAAGGAAAAATGTGTGCGCCTTGTATTTGTCCTACATTGGAGCAGATACTGCTTGAAGGTTAGACTCTTTTTTTTGGGTGTTTGGTCAGTTTGACCCTTAAAAAACCCGTGGGTGCCCTTTTCCTTCTCTGTTAAAAATACACGCTGATTTTTATGTTATTTTTGGTGGTTTTATGGTGTATTTGTATTTTTGCAGTTTTTGACTCTTGCTTTTCGACTGAAGTTTTGCCCAATGGGTTGTATCAACTCTATTTGCATGAGATCATTACTGAATTACATGAAGCATTCCCTGAGTCATCCTTTGTCGCATTCAATTTCCGAGAAGGTGAGAAACGGAGCCAGTTTGCTGAAATTTTCTTCCTGATTTAAAAAAAAAAACTCATCTTTTACTGGTTTTATAATAAGGATTTTCTTCCTGATTGAAAAAAAAAATTGATGAATCAAATATTTATGAAATTTATTCTACTTTCAAAATTTTGAATAACGAATCAAAGACTTATGAATGTGTTAGAGCATGTACATCAGCCTCAATAAATTTTGAGTCAAATTATAACTAAAAAACTACTTTTCTATTTTAGCTAGCATTTTTTGTATGTACACACTATATCAGATCTTCTATTCTAAAATTAAATTTTATAAAATATTTATTTTGTATTGTTAAAAAACAATCAAAGTAGTATAGGAGAAGTTAATTTTGTATTGTAGTTTAGAAATAATTTGTTGAGATTGATGGAGTAAGAATTTTATAATTTATTAACTATATTTAACCAAAATTTACATTGGTTGAGACTGCTGTAGATGCTCTTAGATTATGATTGTTAAACACTGTATTTTCTAAATTGAGTCCAAAACTCATAAAATTTAAAATAATTTGAATTTAATTTATTAATTGGAAAATGAGTTCCAATTTCCCCCCCCCCCCTCTCTCTCTCTCTTACATGAATGGTTCAGATCATTTTAGACATCATAATGATCTAAATTTGGGACTCTTAATCATTACTGTTATTAATTTATCACTTTCTCAAAAAAAATAAAAAATAAATACTAGTCCAATTAGGACCTGTTAAGATGATTGGAGTCCTGCAGCTTTTATCTTCATGCACAGTAAAAGCATTCAAAAATAAATAAATTAATTAATTAATCAAATTTAAAAAATCAAATTATCATGATAATCCTAACTACATAATTTCATCATATGCTATATTTTTTAATTTATATTTGACACTCATTTTTTTACAATATGATGAAATTATTAGATTGATATGAAAATCATAATCACATAATTTTATTATAATTATTCTTAAAAAAACAAGTAGTATATATTTAAAATAATTATTGTCATCTGTTTTTTCAAAAATAAATATAAGAATATTTATAATTACGATTATCCGATCAATCAATTTCTCGTTCTAGATGATCTACATAGAGAGGTAAAAGATGAAATAAAGATCCTCTATTTAAATCATTCCTGTTTTCTAAAACTTTTTTTTTTTTACCACAAAATGTGTAACTTTATTATAAAATTTCGTAATATTAATCACAGAATGTGTAAATTCGCCATAAATTAACATAACAAAAAAATATCATAATTAAGTTATAAACTTTTGTAATATCGATTACAAAATTTTAAATATTTTATTATAGCAATTTTAAATATTGATATTTTATTATATCAATTTTAAATACTTTTGTATAACTAATATTATACAATTTTATGATAAAATTATATATTTTGTGGTAGGTATAGCATTTCCCTATCATGATATTAGAGACAATCATCATTGTTGTGATAAAGAGGGTGACTTTAAACAAAGGACATGAGAGGGTCCGAAGTTCATCTTAGTGGCCCTTTTTGGATCCACCAAATCTGGACTGGGTGGGTCTAGCAACTGTGTTTCCAGAGAAAAACTCGTTGGATTGTAGAAAATTTACTAGAGTGATGACAAAACCCTAATTACGAACTGATATGTCTTGAGATGAAGATGAAATGAGATGAAGATGAACTCAAATGACGATGAATAGTGAAAATGGGTAAAAGAATTTTGTGAGGAAGGAATGGAAAAGATTTTCGCAGAAGATAATGAAACCCTAATATCGATAGTAAAGATGATTGTGAAACCCTAATTCTCCCGTTCTCTTGCTCGTGAAGATGGTTGGATGTTTGGAATGGAACTCAGTCGTCGGAATCCAGTTGAGTGTTCTCAGTTGATTTGTGAAAGGTATTTTGGTCCAAGAAAGAATTAAAAATGCGTGCGTTCTAGTTGAGGGACCTGATGCATCATCCATTTTTTTGGTGTCCTTTATCCTCTAAATTATTATTATTATTAAGGACTTTAAAAAAATTTCCTTGTTTTAAATTAATGATTTTAATTTGATTTACTTATTTATAAGCTCAATATTTAATAGATTAAGGAGTGAATAAAATCTAAATATTTAATTTACTGAAAGTGTCAATGTCATATAAATCATTATTCTCTGTAATCCAAACCCAAACATAAAATTGGACATCTTTAATTTTGTTTCGTGGACAGTGATTCTCTCAATTATTGTTTTAGATGTATTTGATTTTGTGAAATGTCTTTCTACCCCTCTCAACTAAAATTAGGTATTTGTAAGTGATCTTTCAACTAGTTTTTCTAGACGTGTGTAAGTGATTTTCCGATCACACTGCCCAACTCAGTATTCAGCTGGAGAACACTGGCAGAATAGATGACACCTGGCTAACCTGTAACAGAAAGAGAAGATTTCGGCGGTGGTTCGTCCACCTGGGGGCACTCCGATGATCAAGTCAGTATATCTCTCAAAGATAATCAAAAGTGCTTAACTCACTACACAGAATATAAATTGCGTACCTTAGACCCATGGGGGTGCCTCTCTTTTATAGTTACCTCAATCCTAATCCCAATAGAAGCCTGACTTCTATGGATTCCTCTTCAGTACTTACTTTGGACTCCTCAAGAGATAAAGATAAACTCTCTAAGAGCTTTATCCTTATCTGGGCTAAGTCTTTTCTTTATTCTAGGACTCTTGTCCTTTATCTCTTATCAGCTTATCGCGGATTCCGATATCTTCAGAGATAACCTCGGCCTAACCGAGATGACCTTGGCATAACGACCAGGACACGTGGCACCTCGGCTGACACGTCGGCGTCACCTTACCACGTGTTGGTACTCAAAAATATATCCCCACAACTGTCCCCTCTATTACCTCGACATTTTGAGGTGATGGAACCTATATTAGTACCTCATGCTAATTTATCGGTTTAATCCGAGATCATCATCGTAGGCCGACATGTCTTCTTAAAGATCAAGAATTTTGTGAGCTGTCGTGCACAAACAACTCAACTGTTTCAGCCACGCGTCTTCTTCTTACTGGATCGTACTCCGGACGTGCTTGTAGATCGTTTTTGCGCCTGTATGCGCCGCTTAACGGATTCGTTTTTCTAGAATCATTAATTTCCTTTTTTGCCGCCGTTTCAAGTTTAATCAAAAACTATTTCTTTTCCTCTGTCTTTTCAGTTTACTCTTTCGCGTCTGAAGCTCTTTCTCTGTGTTTCTTGCTTTACCCTTTGAAATCCTCCATTGCTCAAGCTTCCAAAGTTCTGCAGCCACCGGCGTTTGCTTTCTTCGACTAGGTTCGTGCTGATTCTCCGGTCCGCCACCGTCGTCTGACCTCGGCAACGTTTAACACCGGCTTCGTTCTTCCTCTGGTAATACACTATTCCTTCTTATTTCAGTTTCTTAATTTTTTCTTGAACTTGTTGCCATTACTGCTTTGCTTAAACATTCGATCTTGTGAATCATACATCTGAATGTGTTTTTTCCACGATTTTTCCCTTGCCCATATCTTGAACAGACGCACTGCTTCACCACTTCCCTGTACTTTTGCCACTGTTCTTGGCCCTATACTTCTTGTATTCTTTATGCTCTTGATAGACCATCTCTGCTCTTGATTCTGAAACTCCGTTCTTGTTTCTGTTTTTTGTGTCTTTTCCAGATTCGTGCCTTCAACTTTGTTTCCATAGACTTAGGTTTGGGATTTGTCTGTAGAATCCAGAATTTAGGGCAAAACTGAAACATCCCTTACAAATTTCTGCACCAGCTCAAACCTAGGTTTTTGCCGAGGTCCCAATAACTCTTTTTGAAACATCTTCTTTCTGAAATCCAATACCTTTAGTTATCCCGATATCATGGGTATGTGGAAACATCGGGTAGACACCCCCTCAAAACTAGAATTTTTTAGGCAAGAGTTTGAAATCCCAGTCGGTGTCAATCTGAGGTTGGTTGGGGATGATGACTCCATCATGCCTACAGATAACTCCATGCCTTTCCCTGTGGTTGCCTTTATTGAGTGTGGACTTCGGTTTCCACTTGACCATTTTTTCCGTCAAATCCTTCACTTCTATAAGTTGAACCCAATGCAACTCGCCATCAATTCTTACCGAGTTATTACTGGTACCATAGCTTTAGTCAAACAAGAGAATGCCAGGATTACGCTTGCCGATTTCCAGTACTGTTATACCATGTGTCGCCTTAGAAAAGACATGGACTATGTTTATTACCTTAAGTCGAGATCCATTGAATATAAAATCGTAGCTGACCTCACAGACTCCAACAAGGGAGCTGGAGACGATTACTTCATCGTCTCGGGCAATTGGGAGTTTCAGCCAAACGATGACCTCTATCTTTATCCCTTAAGCCGAACAGTTCTCGGGGAAGGAGCTGGTAAGAGCCACCCTTCATAAGTTTTCTTATCTTCTTGTATAAAGTTTTCAATATTCTGTTCTAATGTCTGTGCTGTTTTGCAGTTCTTCCTCTGCCTCCAAAGAACTTTCGTCAATCCTTCCTCCCCAGCAAGGATTTGAAGAAGCTACTGAACCTTGCGGTTCACAAACGGAAGGCGCCTTTGCTTCTCAACTTTATCCCAACATATAAGTCAGCTCTGCCCGACGTCCCTAAGAGGAAGAAGAAAAGCCTTTCTCCACCTTCTGCCACAACTCCACAGACTGCGTCCATATCTCGGACAGATCAAGGGTCAACTTCCGATCCAGTTGATCAGCCATCAACCTCGGCTCCATACTTGATTCCAATATCACAACGCCGCCGTCGATGCCGAACAGTTTCTACTGCCAAGATGGGTTGCCCAAAACCAATTGCAAA